TACCACGCCAACGGACCTTGGAGACCAGGTGCTGAGCCAAACGGGGGTCAGTCTCCCAAACTCACTGCCATCAAGTCCATTGCGACCCACAGCGGCCCTGCCGGACAGAGTAGGACTGTCCCCTGTGGGGTTTCCAAGACGGAATCTTTACAGGAGCAGAAAGCCTCATCTTTCCCCCACAGAGCAGCTTGTGGATTCGAACTGCTGACCTGTAGGTTAGCAACCCAGTGTGTAACTCCCAGGCCATCAGGGCTGAAGGATGAAGTTCAGGGGACAAATACTGAGCTAAGCAAATATACAGAGGCCAAAGATGGCACTTTGTCACCAGGGACAGGAAGGAAGGAAGGAGAAGACTGTCCGGAGTTGTAGGGTTGATGTGAATGAGGGTGGCGGGTGGGTGGTGATTTGGGAAAAGATTAGTGAGCCTGGTCGCATACAGGAGGGGTGTAACCAATGTGAACTGAACTGAACGCTTAGAAGTTGCTGAGATGGTGCGTGTCCTGGAAGGTCACAAGACAAACAAAGGTATGCTTTTCCCAGTTCAAATGAAGGCATCTTGGTGGTCTCAAGGGTCAGGCAGAGGGCTCCCCACCACAGGTAGGTGGTTCAAACTCGCTAGTCGATCCACGCGAGAAGGATGAGGCTGCCTGCCCCTGTGGAAGACTTAAGTCTTGGGAACGCCATGCAGGTGGTTGTGGTCCATCGTTTAAGGTCGCTAAGGGGTGGGAACAGACTCCTTGGCCGTGGATGGGTTTGGGTTTAGGCTTGGGCTTGGTTCTCAGGACTAATGTCATTTCTGCCTGGCGATGGGACCCTAGTTAATACGGTCATGAGGATGGCGGTTAAAAATAAATGTCGGTTATTCTCAACACACCACCTCGTTAATGTTAACAAATGGTTTCTATTGTACTGTGGCGTCAGGAGGTCCGGTGGTGTCCTGGCTCTGCCCTGGGCTGCGGAGCACCAGATCAGCAGTTCGAAACCACCAGCAGAACTGAGGGAGGAAGACAAGGCTTGCTGTCCCTGGAAAGAATCACAGTCTGGGAGCAGCACATCAACCCCTGTGATCACAAGGTATCAAAGGCATCAAAGAACAAAAACATCATATCACTGAGAATGAGGGGCAGTGTG